AGCTGTCAAATCTCTTTTTTATATAAAATATGACATTGAACTAAAGGCTCCTCACATTATTGGTGTAAAATCTATTCATTTGGACTTCATAAATCTAAAGGGAGCCTCAACCTTATAGTGAAGTTTAAAAATTCTAACCAACTAAATTAGATCCAATTGATTGACCATGTACTTAATTTGGCAGGCTTTTTTTGCATGGTTAGCTTAGGATTAGGGATGGATCTAGAATTTCAATATCAGAGTGGCGAATAAGTTTTTAAAAAATAAAGTATAAACTGCAACATCAATATTTACCGATATGAAAGATTAAAAAGCATATGAAATATATATATGTATATATATATATCAACCTTAATTATGAAAAACTTATATATATATATATATATATATTCTTTTTTTGTCTAAATTGTTAAATTTTACACTTTTTTCATAAATATAAAAGTGTGGGTTGTGCAACCACTTAATCCTTTGGATAAATTACTAATAGGCCCTAATAGTTGGACTTAATTCCTATTAAGTCCGATTAAAAATAAGTTTTAATAAAATCGTCGTTAAAAATAATTTTTTGTAATATTTTTTACATATATTACTAAAAATTAACAATTAGAAACTTTTTTGTCACGATTTTTATAAATTATTTCTAAAACTTACAATTAGTGACTTTTTGTATGACAAGTCTTTCAAACTATAAATTTTGACGATTTTTTAAAATTATCATTAAAATTTATAATTAGTGACATTTTTTTGATAATTTTCAAACTGTCACTGAAAATTAACAACTAATGACGTTTTTTAATAGTGCTTGATGAAAAACACCATTAATTATTATAGGACCTACTGGACAATAAATTCACTTATTAAGATTTACATATAAGTCCTCCTAATCTTTTTTAAAATTTAGAAACTGCAACTCTATATAATTTAAAAATAATTAATAATTAATATTAAAATATAAAAATATATATATATATATATTTTGATAATCATAAGAGGGGATTGCCGCCATCCTCAAATGCATCCTTACTTAAAAAGAATGCATCATTCAAATAGATGACACTTGTCATGTTTTCTTCCATAAACCTAACAATTTTGTCACTTTAATCACGTAGTGATATAGCTTTCATAATCACATGATTTTAGTTACATTATATTCTGACTCTGAGATAATTAAAGATAACTAGAGTGGTACACATCAGGCTAATCTAAGGACCTCATTTTGTGGGGTCCCATTTAAAAGTTCTCTCGGTAAGAAATCAATGTTCAATCAAAGATCAATTTTTTACACCAACAATGATTCATCCTACTAAAAACATCACCACTAATAGTATTAATGTATTAAAAAAATAAAAAAATAAAATAAAATACAACTCTAAAACCAAAACATCACATCATTAATAGCGAGACCCACTACCACCTAATTAGTGAGAGCACTAATTAGTGCTCCCAAGCATTTTTCTTTTTTACACCCAAATTTTCGCAAAAGGAAAATGATGTGCTAGCATAGCTTATGGTGGGCCAGTCTATATATTTTCCACATTGTTGGTCCCCAGAGATCCCTCATAAGAGTATTTAATACTATATGCATTCACATGGAGTTCACCTACCTACTGATCAGGACCGTTCAATGGATGGTCTATTACTTCAACTGCAAAGTAGGGTCCAAGATTGGATCACTAGGACAATCACAGCCGTCCAAACATAGCAATAGTATATGCTAATATGTCACTTTAGATTATAGGACTTATCCTCCATTTATCAAACACTAAGCCCTGTTTGATTGGGTATATGACCTCGTATAGGGACAGAGAAAAACACAGATTTTATCTTTTTGTGTAATTTTTGTTTGGTTATATATGGTATATAAAATCTAGTGGTACATTCTATATACTTTTTGAAAGTGTCAGATATGCAGTAATACACTATTATGGTATTGCATATCTCCATCATATGCGTTACTATTTATTGAACAGTAAAAATAACTATTATTTTCTTGTTTCATGTTATATTTTATCCTAACCCTACAATATATATAACTAATCTCATATCCTAAATATATTACTTTTAAGTATTACATATCCTTTTCAATCTCTTATATTCCATCCGAACAATCAAATAAGACATCACGATTGATGAATCTGAATAATTTTCAACGCTTTCTTCTTTAAGCGATTAGCTAACACTTGATTTAAATGTCAAAATTCAACAATAACAACTAATCATTATTGTATTTTGTAACCTTTGAATCAAGTGTTGAATAATAAGTGAAAAATATATATATATTGGAGAGAGTTCTCTTCCACGACTGATGGTGTCCAATCAACAAGTTCTCTTCCTTTTCTCTGTTCATTGTCTGAGATAAATGAGAAATTTCTCTTTCTTGTACACAAAACATATATGGACGATTACCCAAAAAAAAAAAAAAAAAGACAATGAAAAATGTTTGGGGGCCCTAATTCTGTGGCTTAAATGTGGCTCAAATGGCCAAAACGTCGTTTTGGCCATTTTGATGTTGTTTTGTACTCAAAACGACGTCGTTTTGGGCATTTGAGCCACATTTGAGCCACAAAATTTGGGCCCTCTACCATTGCTGAAAAACAATTAAGGATTTGAAACTTATAACAAAATAAATTTTAAATTTTATTAATTTAAATTTTAAATTTTGATTTATTTTTAATCTAAATCATTTGTCTATTTCTATTAAGTAAAATTGACGAAAAATAAATATTTTAATTATTAAACTCAACGAAAATTGTACTTTAGACATTTTATGATACATTTAATTTAATGACTAAAATATTCTTTTTTCGTCGGTTTTACTTAGCAAAAATATGCGAATGATTTAAATTAAAAATAAGTCAAAAAATTATGATTTAAGAAAAATGATATATCCATTAGGGCGATTGTTGGGGGAGGGGGAGGGGGACAAATTGTGTGAATGTAGCACAGCTGATGATTTAAATTAATAAAATTAAAAATTCAAGATTTATTTTATTACAAAACTCAAATCTTAATTTTTTTTTTTAATTTTGTAATTATCCCAAACATATACCTATACCTTATGAGGAATCATATAATAAGTTCTGTGATAAACAACATCTCCATCCAAACTTTTAAAATTTGATGTGTCAAATTTTGTTTCAAGGTTTAGATGGCAAGTTGACATATATCAATTTGATATGAAAACTCCCCATCTAAAATGTAAAATATTATCATATTTATTTTTAAAATTTGACCTCTTTGACAACTACAATTTGTACCAAATTGTATCATTGGTTGCTTTTATTTGAAAAAAGAACAAAAGAATTAAAAAAAAAAAAGAAAAAAGAAAAAAGAAAGGCATTAAGGAGTCTTCATATTAAAATTGGCAGGAAGGGGTGATGCCAAAAGTTATATCAACTTTTGACCCACCGGGTGAAGTTCATGCTTGATGTCAAAATATAACTATTGAAGTGTCACATCAAATTTGAAGTATCAAATGGAGGTAAGAGGTTTTAAATTTGAGTTAGAGCATCTAGTCATCCAAATCTTCAAAATTTAGTATGTCAAATTTCTTTTAAAAGCTTGCGTAACAAATTGACACATATCAATTTGACATAAAATTTTTTTACTTGACATGTCAAATATATTATTATATTATTTTTAAAATTTAAACTCTTTGACAACCACAATTTGTATCAAATTGTACTGTTGATTGCTTTTATTTGACGACAAAAGAAAAAAAAAGAAAAAAAAAAATCATCAAGAAATCTTCATGTCAAATTAATAGAAAGAGTTGATGTATAAAATTATGTCAACTTTTAATACACCAAATAAAATTCATATTTACTATTAAAATATAATTATTAGAGCGTCACAGCAAATTTGAAATTTCATCCTCCTATGTAAAAATAATGAGTGATCACGCGCATCTTGAATCTTACCAAAGTGAAGGCAGTACGTTTTTTTTGTGTTCTAAAATCATTAATTAAATATTTATAAATAGAGTAAGACTTGCAATAGAAAAGTTTTTAACAACACGTTAATCATGACTATAATATATATATATATAAAGAGCAATAATTCAAGTTTGATTATGTTATTAAAATCTAGATTTTGAATTTTGAATTAGTCCAGACTCAAAAGTAATTTCAGAATTTTGTTAACAAATTTAAAATAATGGTATCTTGTATGAAAAATGCTTGGGAGCACTAATTAGTGCTCCCACTAATTAGGTAACAGTGGGTCCCGCCATTAATGATGTGATGTTTTGGTCTTGGAGTTGTATTTTTATTTATTTTTTTATTTTTTTAATGCATTAGTGCTATTAGTGGTGGTGTTTTTAGTAGGATGAATCATTGTTGAACCTTGTATATACCAAAGAAAGTATCTACAAAAATATCACATTTAGGATGATTTAAATAAGTGTATTTTTTAATCTTTTATAAAAAGATGTATAGAAAAATAAAAAGATAATGTGATGTAAAAAAGATAAAAAAAAATAAAAATTATACTTTTTTTTAGTACACTCCAAACCAACACACATGCACTTCAATCAGACACACTAAAATTTTGGGGACAAAATTTCATTGTAGATAGCAATGTTTTTGGGGTATCTAATTGATTTCAGTTATCAAAGAAATCTCCTCCAAAGTTAATAATTATGGCATTTGATCTAGTGATTGTATAATACCTTTTTGTGATGTGAATACTCGAGTTCAACTCTTATAAAGAGGAATTTGATATTCTTCGTGGTGATTTATTTTTTCCCCAATTACGAGAGTTGCATGTAATTGTTGGGTTTGGACTTGGTGAGTTTGACTATTGATTGTTAAATTTTGTTAATTTTCTATTTTATGTGATTATTCTCATTTCAAAAATTAAACCAAACGGAATCTAATTTTTTTTACAACTACATTGTCTATAATTTCTCAACTAAGCACATCGATCTCTAAATATAAAAAAAGAAAATTTGACCATCATCAAACGAGAGCACAATCAAAATTTCAAACCTACCTACAAAATTTAATCAAGGCCAAAGTGAATAATACCAACCAAAAAATAAATAAATTTACACCAATTCCTATAATAAATAGCTTCTCAAAAAGATTATAAGGGAAAAAAAAAAAAAAAGCTCTAAAAACTAATGAAAAAAATAAATTAAAATTAGAAGGGCAAGCAAAAATTGGGAAACAAAAAGACAGAACCTAGTTATTTTAGAGCTTGAGAGACAAGTCTAGCTTTTGCAACTCATCTTGATGATTAGTCTTCAAACGACTAAATCCTCCTCCCATTCCATCACCTCCAACCACCGCCGGGGAAAACTTCTGACCACCATCAAACCTAGCGGCGCCGCCACTCGATGAGGGTCCCACCAGCATCTCCGGCAGCCGCCCGATGGCCGGTTGTTGATCAATAATAGCCTTTCTAGACCACCCATGATGCCCAGACACACCATTAGATGGAAAGTAAGTTGGTTTCTGAATCATAGAGTGGACTTGAATACCAAGAGACCTATTGAATGAGCCATGAAGAGGCAGAGAAGCCAAGCTCGAAAACCGTTGTGGGTATGAACCGAGTTGATCAATCTTGACAATCTTGTTATTATGTGCTCGCTTTGCGAGTGTTCGCTCTCGTTTGTGTGCATTTTGGTGGCCTCCGAGTGCTTGTGAACTGTAAAACTTTCTTTGGCAATAGTTGCATGAAAATACTCTTGGTTCGGCCTCATTGCAGTTGAATGATTGATGATCTTTAGGCGATGAATCCATGTTGAAAGATTCGATGAGGTTGAGTTCTGGTTTCGACCCTTTATCGGAGTGGTTTAGATCTAATTCAAGATCAGTGTGCTTTTGATCTTCCATTGCTTTTGAGAAACAAAGATGATTGTTGAACTTTGAGAGAGAAAGAGAGAGATCACATGGTTCTAGTATTGGTGAAGGAGTATTGATGTCAGACTTTCCACCTTGTGGGTGATGATGAAGAGATTTGGTTTTAATAATGTTTATTGATTGGGAAATAAATGCTATATATGTGCCATGTATGGAAGGAGAGGATTTACAGTTACAAGGTCTTATAATGGTAAGAATTGAATTGGGAAATTAGACTTGGGGAGAGAGAGAGAGAGAGAGATGAATGTGTGTTGTGTAGCTTTTGATTGGAACTCATGAAGAACACCATCTACCTCTTTTGATGGCATATATACCCCATTGAATGTTTTGCTCTACTTGTGTTTGTCTTCCCACTCTTTTGTCTTTTCACATTACCTGTCTTTTTGGGTTTTGCCTTTTTGGCCAGCTTTGATTAAAGAAATATTTTATTTATTTATTTATTTTTATTTTTTTAACATTAGATATGATGGGATTATTGATAAAATTGTGACAGATAAAGTTACACTATAGAATAAGGATTGGATATATGAAATGATTACGGATAGGATTAAATTCTTCTCCATATATCATCTCTCCATACTTCTTCATATTTTTTTGTAAGTCCCAATTCAAACATACACAAGATGATTTGAATTGCTTATCTCATAATTCTCACAATAAGAGTTATATATACAAAAAATGAGTTTAATCGGGCATCTATAAACATAGGAATAAATTGTATTTTGTTTTATAAAATAAATCATTCATAGGCTGTAAACTTAAACCATTCATTTTATAAAATAAAGTACAATATATTCCTGTGTATATAGTTGGCCGAAGGCTCACAAAAAAAAATATGGAGAGATATGGAGGAGAGCTACTCTTATGGATAAGATTGTAAGGGATAGGATTATACAGTGGGATAATAGATAGGATAAATAATTTGATAGAATGAGTGAGATTTTATATTTGGTTAAAATGAAATAAAAATATAATTATTTTTTATTGTTTAGTGAAGAAAACAAATAATTCGGAGGTTTCATTCTTCTATTACCACACTATCTTCGGTATTATTTAGAATCCCTATTTTTCTCTATTTAATCCTCTATACTAATTGATGATGTAGTTCGTCCTAGGTGGATGGGTCGGGCTGGTCCAAGCTCTTCAAGTTCCGTTCCAGGCGGATGGTTCCACTAGATGACCTGCAAGCAAGTCCAAAGGGGAACGGGGTAGTCCCCCAGTGAACCCTCTAGCGAGCAAATCAGTAGTGGAAGAAAGAAAAGTATAGAGAGAGAGAGAGAGAAAGAAAAGCTTAACCTTCCTCTTGTCTTCGATTCTTGCTTATATCCTTTGGTAATCATTTCACTGTCCCTTGCGACGTGCCCCCTTCCGCCGAAAGCCTGTGCCGTAGCTTACCTTGTTCAGGGTGAGGGGGCTCTGTTCCAACGGGGAGGTGTTGTCGTAATAAATGCTGTGATGGGCTGCATTAATGGTGATGTGTTGTGGCAATAACTCTGCAGATCTTTGTCTGCTGATGTGGCCTGTGTGTCACCTGCCATGTGCCCGAATGTCATTGGCCCTCCATGCCCAGATGGCCTCCAGCTGTCTTGGGCTTTGCCAATCGGGTTATGCTATGGGTCCCAAGCGATGGGTTTGGGGTTGTTTACTCTGGGCTGTAAGCCTTATGGGCCTATCCATGTCAGTAATCCCCCATTTTCGAGTGCAGCTTTAGTCCAACGAAGGGAATAGTAATAAGGAAGAGAAGTGCGAACCGAGTGGAGAGGCCGACCATTAGGCGTGCCAACCACGAGGCGTGCCGACCACAAGGGTGGCCGAGCGGGAGGGGTCGATCGTTAGGCGTGCCGACCGCAAGGGTGGCCGAGCGGGAGGGGTCAATCGCGAGACGTGCCGACCGCAAGGGTGGCCGAGCGGGAGCGGTCGACCGTTAGGCGTGCCGACCGCAAGGGTGGCCGAGCGGGAGGGGTCGACCGTGAGGCGTGCCGACCAGGACGGCGCGGGGCTCAAAAAAAAAAAGGGGGGTGGGGCGTGCCACATGATGATGTGAAATGGAAAGGACAGGATAAGAGAGGGGGACAGTGCATCGTGGCCATACACGTGGCAATATCGTATGGGAAGTGAAGCATTGGAGCAGAAATGAAACGATAGGTCACGAGGGGGGTTTTGAAAAGGTGATTTTGGCGGTTGATTTGAAAGGTTTTGAAACGGGCAAAAATTAATTTGGATACATGGAATACGGGTAAACCGTGGGTTTTTGGTATAATTCGTTTCACCTACCATTTTACAAAAACTCAAAATATCCAAGTGTTAATTCCTTCATTGCGCACGACACACCTTTTTAACATTTTCTCAACTTCCTTGCTCCGGCGTCTGAAGTGATTCGTAAGCAAACCCTAGAAATGGCACGAGAAGAAGTGGGGAATGTGAGGGTGGACCCCCTGGGAGACGATGATGCAGAGGAGCTAGCAGCGCAATATAGGACGAAGACACGAATGGTAGAGGTGAGGGAACCGGTGGGATAATCGCAGGCGTCAGCCCTGATAGTGGCTCCAAAGCCAATAAGCCAGGTAGAGCCGGATCATTGGCACACTAAGGCTGACAAATCCACAATTACTACGGCGGATTTGGAGGCTATCAGGGAAAAATACCAGATTCCGGCGGAGGTGGAGTTATTACTGTCAACGTCAAGGGAAAAGCCGTCTGATGCCAGGCTAGGGGAGTTTTCTCTTTACGAGGAGGCGCTAAAAGGTGGGCTGAGATTGTTACTCCCCCAAGTGGTGGTTGATGTACTAAACCGTCTGGAAGTAGCACCGGGGCAATTGATGCCCAATGCATGGAAGATTCTGCTGGCCTGTGCTAGCGCGTGGCCCAAGGCGAATGGAGGGGAAGCCATGGCGGTAGACGAGTTCTTTTCCTGTTATAAGGCTTCGGGACAGCAAGAGACGTGGGTCACCCTACAGGCAGTGATGGGAAGGGGATTGGTGGCGGGGTTGCCGACATCGATCAAGGGGTGGCGGCCACGGTGGTTCTACGTGTCTGGCTATGGGGGACGGGGAGTACGCACCATCTGGAAGGTGCCCATTAGGTCGATGGAGCCAAGACTGGGGGGAGCGGCGGAAGAGAGGGTGAAGAGGGTGAAGGAGTGGAAGGAGAGAGAGAAGGCCAAATGGGACGAGCTTGTTCAGCCGTCCGCATTGTTTAAGGCAGGGTTGGGACCGCAGCCGAGGGGTGGAGACCTCGACCAAGCAGAATTAGAGGCGAGGAGAGAAGTTCAGGAAGTAGAGGATCAGGCCATACTTACCAAAGCCACGAAGTTGAAGGAAGCGCAAGGAGACCGACCGCCTCAAACGATCATGCGGGAGAGGATCCGACCGCATCCAAGGCCGCTGGGGGGGAAGGACTTATGCAGTTTTGAGCCACGACCGCCCCTAGTAGATCCTGTAAAAGAACGGGCCAGAAAGGAGGGGGAGGCTCTGAAGGAGAAAAAGAAAAAGAAGAGGAGTGCCCCAGAGGGAGTTGCATATGAGGTTGGGGCCAAGAGGGCTAAGGTGGCCCCAACTGAGGTGGAGGCCCCTGTGGCCAGGGATACCCCAGAGGTGGTGGAGGTTACCCCAACACTGGAGGTTGTGGAGACTGCCCCAACGGTGCAAGTAGGAGTTGGGTTGGCTGAAGCTAAGCCGAGCAGGAGGGAGCAGAACCAAAGGGGCCCTGCACCTTAGGAAGGAGGGGTCCGTCTGGCCACGGTAATCTATCACGCTCGCGCAGTAGCGGAAAGGTTGGAGGGAGAAGAAGGGCCAACCAGGACGGGGCCAGACCGCTTGGTGAAGATTGTGGAGGAGACAGCCCTGCGCTCGGCCTCCGGATTCAGTAAGGTTGACCTGTTGAGGGGGTTATACTCCGCCCAAATGGAGGTAACCACCTTGGCAGGGGCCCTTCTAAGGAAAGCAGGGGCTGCCAAGCTAAGAGCTGAAGATGCCAAGGCCCAGTTGGCCAAGTTGAAGAAGGAGAGTGCCTACTGGAAGACTACCCATGCTGAGCTACAAGCAGTCAAGTTGGAGCTGGAGGACACACGCCGTAAGGTCGTGTCGCTCGAGTTCTAACTGGCTGGCGAACAGAAAAAGTTGGAGGAGTCTGAAAGAGCCTGCGCCGTTGCAGTCGAGCGGCATGAAGAGGCCATGAGCAGTAATGAAGAGCTGGTCAGGCAAAAAGATGATGCAGATGCCAGATTTGGAGATCTGTTGAAGGAGTTGGAGGATGAGCGTATTAAAGCAGAGGAGGAGAATGGGAGGTTCGTGAGGGAGTTGGAAGCAGAGAAGGCGAGGGCGATGGCAGAGATGGAGAGTCTGAGGAAGGGAATGGAAGAAGAAAGGGCAACGACGGCTGCTGAAAGGGGGGCCCTGCAGAGAGAGCTGGACGAAGAGAGAGCGAAGGCGACTTCTGAGAGGGCGGCCTACCCCGATCTATGCGTCGCAGCAGTGGAGCAATATAAAGGGTCTCCCGAATTTCAGATGGCAGTAGATGCCGCAGTTGCCAGGAACCTGGCTGGGCAAGAGTCTGGGGGGGTGGGCCCATCAAGGACGACTACTGGATGTAGGACGGAGGCAGAAGTTATTGAGAGCTTCCAGCAGTCAGACTTCTACAAGCACGAAATGGCTGAGTTCTGGGACAGCGGTTGGAAGATGTTCAAACGCAGAGCTGAAGAGCTGTTCCCAGACTTGGACCTGAGTAGTGTAATGATTGGTGAAGATGATGTGGCCCAAACCCCCCTGAACGAGGGCATTGAAGAAGAAGAGCTTGTATCCAGCGAGGAGGAATAACAAAGGGAGATGAAGAGCCCCCTCTCTGTGTTTGTTGTTGTTTTTTTTTTTTATTTTTATTGTAATGAACTTGTGTACACATTGTAAATGAATAAAATTTCGTTTATGTTGTCAGTTGATTGTGTTGGCCTGTATTGTCTAAAATGAATGAAGTCTTGTTACAAAAACTGGTCATAAAAATTGTGCAATAAAAATTTCGTGCAAAGTTAAGTCAAAAGTGCCTCCCTGCAGAGTGAGATTGGATTTGTATGAAAATTGAAAGGATGATAGTGGTTAATTGAAAAATTGGATTATGAAATTGTAGAACATGATATTCGAATGGAACAAGCCCGCGGGGGGGACCTCGCTACAGTTCGGACTCTCGATTTTGTGTCGCGGTTCTTAATAATGGGGTTAGTACTTCCAGTTAAATAAGGACGGGTGAAGAATCCATGGATGAGATGAGAAAAGTAGGTTGCAAATCGTAACTAAACGGTTAATTGTAAACTTGTAGAGAAGAGATTGGAGAAACAAACGG